GGTGGATTCCTTACCAGCTCAGCCACCAGGAAAGCCCAAATTAGTCATAAGGCTCTGCCTAATTGCAAGGGGGCTAGGAAAACTATATTATATGTATATGAATTATATGTATAATGTTGCTCTAGGAATGCATAAATAGATCAGTGGGAAAGACTGGAGAATATAAATATTAAATCACATATATTCAAAAATTTATTCTGTGACAAGGATAATTATTTAATTCACTAGGAAAATGGAGCTGTGAAAATGAGCTTGCAATATGAAAAAAGTATTTTACATAATATAAAATAAGAAACTCCAGGTGAATTAAAGACCTAAATGTCACCAGAAAAAAATATTTGAAACATTCATGACATAAAAAATGCTTATACATATAACATACAAGGAACACTTAGGAAAAAAAAAAATGACCAGAAAGCAATCCAACACAGAAAGGAAAAAAGGAATATGAATAGACAGTTTAGAGAAGGGAAAATCCACACAGCCAAAAAATATTAAAGAAGTTCAAATTCTCCAGTAGTCAGAAAAATAAACACCATGTATTAACAAAGCTATCACACTTTGCATATTTCAGACTGACAAAACAGTGATTTAGTCATTAGTGATATTAATAGTATTATATCCTTTTAGAATGTAATCTGGCAACATAAAATAGAAACACACAACACATATACACATGTGCATGTAAATATAAATACAATCCATTACCTAACAATTCCACTTGGAGTTTACCCCATTGAAATAAAGTATTGAACTGCAAAGACATAAAAATGTTTATTGTAGCCTTGTCTTTAGTAGCTAAAACTGGAAGCAAAGTAAATTTTCATATAACTATAACTGTGAAGCATCCAAATAATGTTTTTAGTGAGAAAAATAAGATTCAAATAATAGTGAAATTCCTATATTGTATATTATGGATATTGTGGTTTGTAGGTCTGTCTATATAGTGTTAAAGGGCCTGGACTAATTAGAAAGAATTTATACTAGGTTGTAAGCAGAATTTTCTTTGAGCCTGATGGGTCTGTATTGTGTGTCAAAGAGGAAGTTGAGTAGAAAAGAAAAAATATCAACTCTTAGAGAATAAAAACATATATAGGATCTTACTGATACATTTTTGCAAAATTATTCCTTATTTGGGTAAGGGGCAATGCCAGAGAAAGTCATTGCTTAGAGGGTGTGTGTGTGTGTGTGTGTGTGTGTGTGTGTGTGTGAATTAAGGACACTTCTTGCTATTGTATGGCTGAGTAATTTTATTAACATGAAACTATCATGAACATGCTTTGTTCTTCCTGGGAAAGAAATTAGCAAGTCATACACAGGACACACTACATGCCATGAGGATCCAAGAACAGGAAGGAGCCACCCAAGGCAGCTTCACCCACTCTTTAAGGCCAGGAATGCAAACCCTTGAAGGCCAGAATAATAAATGTAGGTGTTCTTCTAAGTGAGCTGCATCTATGAGACTTTAAGCAGAGCAACATGATTTGACATATGAAACATAAATGATATATCATCCTCCCTTTCATCCTCATTCTCTTCTCATCCTTAACATTCTTCAGGCTTATCCACAGAGGTGACTTTCTACACTGTTCCCCGCTCCCCTCATTGTCTAGGTTAGATACCTCCCTCTTCTCCAGGCCCGATACCTTTGCTCATCATAATACTGCCTGTTGTGTAGGTAACTGTCTCTTTTCTGTCACTAGACTGTAAATGTTTGTGAGGCTATGTCCATAGCACAGAAGTACCTGGTTCAAGGTGTCATCTTGCCCCACAAATGGAGGATTAATAGATAAATTCCTACTTTTTAGCTTATTTAAAATTGTTTTATATAACATTTATTATATACTTAGGGTTTATTCTCTTTCTTCCAAACTACCCTCAAACACTGAGTAAAATTCCTTTAGAAAAAGTCAGCCTGCCTCCACCAGACAGGGAGGAAAAAGAAAAGATAGCTTTAAGACAGCTTGGAAGGAAAAATCAGAGGTGGAGACACACGCACATTCACACTCTGTCAACTCTGGGAGGTGGTGGAAGCAGCAATGACAGATCCAGAGTGGACAAGATGGTGCTCCCTTCCACAAAAAGGCTCTCATTTACTGCTTCTCTGAATAAGGGGGCACTGTTCTCTTCAAGGTATCACTAGAGTTTTNCAATGACAGATCCAGAGTGGACAAGATGGTGCTCCCTTCCACAAAAAGGCTCTCATTTACTGCTTCTCTGAATAAGGGGGCACTGTTCTCTTCAAGGTATCACTAGAGTTTTCTTTTCAGGGTTTAAGGGCGCTTGGAGGACCAGACAGTGCATGATGAGACCCGTGTAAACATGGAAATGTGAGAATGCAACAAAATCTGAGCTAACTAGCAGATTCCCCGAAATCATTTGATTTTAGTCCAATATAAACCCATATAATACATTTCTGAACATTAAAGCCCTTCCTGGAGATATTTTGCTTGCTGGAAGGAGAGATATATCTGAAAGGAAATATATGAAAAAAAAAATCAGATATATCTGAAAGGAAAGATATACCAATTTGAATGGAGAGTTCCAAAGAATAGCAAGGAGAGATAAGAAAGCCTTCCTCAGTGATCAATGCAAAGAAATAGAGAAAAACAATAAAATGGGAAAGACTAGAGAT